CGACAACTCCGTGCCTCGAATGTGCGGGGGTTCAGCCAGTGACCGAGGTGCGTGTGGACGTTCGTGTGTTGTTGATGTGTCGTTGCTGCCGAAGGCATTGGAATGTCCTCTTTGGCTCTCGCTCAGGAAACGGTTCCCACCCCGCTTCACTGCACACAGCCACGTTAATAGACACCCCTTCACTGTGCGTAAGCACCGTTCGTAGACAATTCTTCGTATTGTTTTTTTATGGTGTTAACTGCTGACTAGGCAACTGTGAAAACGAGCTTCATAGTTCATCGGATTTCTCCTACAGTCGAAAATTAAGATTTTGATTCTTCACTGCACAGACACCCTTCCTAGAAGTACCTCTCTGCTGCGCTCAGAGACCCCTTACAGACACTCCTTGACCCCCTTACCCCCTACAGCCACCTCCCTTCCTACTCATACCCTCCCTGCTGTGTCCCTTTCCCCTCAAATCTGCTTTCCTTGCACCCAACCCTCTCTGGCCCATCTCCCTTCTGCCCTCTCTTCCTGCCCCCCTCTCTCCCCGCCCCCCAACTCCTGACCCCTGTTCTCTCCCCCCCTCTGTTTGTCCCCCTCTTTCTGCCCCCCCCCCCCACCAACGCCTTACTCTCTGTTCTGTCTCTGCCCCCCCTCTCTCTCTCTCACTAACACCGCCCTCTCTGTCTTGGACATCCCAGCACGCACACGTCAAGATCACCCATGTAGCCTTAACAGACTTTTGGGGCAAGTGCTGTTAGCGAGCACCTATGAAGGCTGGAACGGCACACGAGGGGTTGGGTGGCCAACACCACGCCCGACCGCCTTTGTCTCCCCAGTGGCGATGTTTACACACCGCACCAGGAGGCCCAGGACTGGTTCAGATAATCATCACCGGTGTTGGCCGTGAGCGGAAATCGAACCCGGGTCGCCGGGTTCATAGCGCAGCGCGCTAACCGCTACACCACCGCTCCACACCCAGCACACTCACACACGCACACACATTCCACGTGGTCCCACCCGCTGCCCACATACTTATACTTTGCAGGAGTTTGCAGCAGTTCCCCACACTGGTGACCACAGGAAACCCCGGGCCCGACATTATCTGACCCCGAGCCCGGCCCATTCTCCTCGTGCAAGTCACACCCTACATCCGCGTTGCCCAACTGCACCACTGAGCACCCCTCGCAACGTAGTCATGCGACAGCGCACTTAGATGAGCGTCCGTTTGTACGTTTGCGATCGTACGTTGCGTACGTATCGTCCGGCCGGGGGGGGGAGAGGCTGGGGGGGGGGGGCTTAATTTCTCGCCGAATATTTGCCGGGTTGCTTGCAGATTCCAGTAGGCAATGTGGACTGCAATGGTCACTGTCACGGTGGGTGTGGTCCGCCGACTTGGAGCCATGGCAAGAACCCATTGCCGGATGTCGTATTCTGGGCGACGCAAGTATTTCATGCAGAGCTCAGCTTGACAAACCTGGCTAAAGGCTCTTGCCTCAGCCCTGGGCGTTATAATGCCGTATCGCCTTCAAAGCCACAGTCCATGCGCTGCACCTTCAGAAAATTGATGTGTGCTGGAGGAATCTTATGAGCTATGAAGATCTTTTTTTCACAGATGTCCAGTAATGTGAAACTCCTGAAGAATCAGGATATTTTAGATTTAATTTCCAGTTCAGAATTGTAAAAAAAAAAAAACTCAGAGTAGGACTTTTGTTGTTGTATCGTTCGCAATCAAGGGAATTAAGTTGCGTTCCGTTGCTACAGTTCTAAATTGTGTTGTAAAACAATTGCAGAGCCCCACCTTTCCCCCCCGTCGGTTTACATCGTACCAAACAGCGTCAGCGGTTACAACCCCCTGTGCTCCGTGACCCAGCGGAGCCCATCGTCGGTGTGAGCGAGGTGCCTCAACCCGAACGGCGAGGCTGTAAACAACGCGGGACGATTAACCGCAGCTGCCCACACCGGCTTAATTCCCAGCGGGAGGTTGCCCAGCCCGAGGCTTTACGCGGGGAGGCGACGCCGACGGACCTTCGACCGATGACTGTTTTGAGCGCCGTCACAATCCATTATTGTCCCCCGCGAGTGGCGGCGAAGAGTCGGTTCGGCACGCGAACGTAACTCAGGGACTCGACGCATTCGTCAAGAACGCCGTGGGCCTTAAAAATTGGGGGGGGGAAGTATGTAACAAGAGGCGACGTTTCGTGGACATGGCCCTTCTTCACAGGACGTAGAGAGGCCAGAGAGGTAGCGTTAAACAATAATTGGACTGGAGATCCAGTGCTAGATGTGTACTTTGTGTGTGTGTATATATTTACTTTTTTTGTTTAGTTTTTTGCCTGGATAAGTACTTGAGATGGAGCCCTATCGTTTGCAAGGGTGTCCCGGGGTGTCAAGGGACACGTGCTTAGGGAAACAAACACGTAACCACACGCGTACAAACATTTGAAAATCCCACGACGTGTGTGGTACATGATGTGCTTGCGCAATATCAAAATGTGTTTACACGGTTCAGAGCGGGGGACTAGGCGGTCAGGGGAGCGCGCGTGAGCGCAATTGTACCAATTATGCGTGCTTCGTCGAAAATAATTGTGATGGAAACAATGGATACTTGAGGTATGTGTTGTGTATGGCACCAATTGCTTTGTATGGCCAGTAAATAATGCATTTTTCCAGGATAAATGTGATAAAACAAAGTCCTTTTCAGTGGTTAAGAAAACAAGAGTAATTTACGTAAATATGTCATCCACTGCTGGATGGAGGCCGCCCCACCGGTAATAATTGATCATGGGGGTTGTTCGACCATCCGTCACGCTGGCCAGTGCGGGTTCGTGATGGGGACCCCGAGAACCAGTTGAGATGTCACGCCACCACTGATGTTGGCCGTGGCAAGGAATCAAACTCGAGTTAATTTACGCATAATATTGTACAATATAGAATATTCATGAACGTAAAGAGCTTCACCTGAGGTAGGCAAGCTGGAGTTAGTGATTAGCAATGCCCAACAATGTCTACCGATGGTTGGCGTGCAGTTTGGATGGAAATAGTTTTGTAATTCACGGGTGACTGGGAGATATGGATCTAGGTATTTGCAAATTAACCTTATGGCGGTAATTTTTAGTCTGTTGATGGTCGGCGATGCGGCAATCGACTCATCTCGCCGAGCTGTACACGATGCACTATTCAAAGTAAAATTACACTGGTCAACAAAAAAAAAACTTTTTTTTCTGGCGTGGACTTTTGCAGCTGTTTTAGACTAATTTCCGGGTGCTGATTCTAAATCTGATCTCAGATTTGCTCTATCACATCTCATTTTTTATGCTATCGCATATCCCATTTTCATTGATTTTATCCGAAATTAACTCTGTCACTTATGGTTGCGAGTCAGTGACTGCTTTAGTGTTAAAATATGGTGCTGTATTTTTAGGATAGTGTGTTTCTAATATCATTTTATGTAGATATTCACATTTATTTAATATTTTTCTTCTGCAGTTTTATTGAAAATTCAATATTTGATATCTCAAAAACTGATTCCAGATTTGGAATCAGCACCCCAAAATTACCTTAAAACCGTTGAAATACCTTATGCGAGAAAAAGTGTGTTGACCAGTGTTATTCGATAACGGATGTTTGTATGCTAACGTTTGGCGTTCCGACATCGCGGATTAGCACTGATTTCGTATTGGTTGGTACCCCAGTCGCCGAGTTAAGTACACCCCTAGAAAAAAATAGTGTCTCAGAAATAAAATATTTGATTCCCTCGGTCATTTCGTATTATTTGGTACCTCGGGGTACCGCCATGAGCATCAAATGTCCAGCGTCGGAGACTCCCATGCCGGTAGGAGTGTCATTGCTAGAGCACTGACACCCCAGACAGAATGGAGCTGTGTCAGGAGCTGTAACCGTAATATGTGAAACACCCAAAGGGAATCTCGGTCGGCAAGGGGCATGACCAAGAGACGCCGCTCTTCAAATTCCAGAAGTAGGTCACATCTCCATCACAGCACGATCGCTGTGGATGAAGAATCTCGCCGTCCAGATTCACACAGAAGTGCCCGGGGCCATTCAGGGTTCGGAGCGCTGAGGCATCACTGCTGACCGAGTTCCTGTTTTTTTTCGAAGACGGACTTCAACCTTGATTAAACCCGCTTTCACAATTGTAGCGATTTGGTGGTCTCTGGGTTCCCGGTTGTTAAAGACTTCACGGAAATAAAACAACGTTGCTGTGGATGTTTTTTTTTCTCTCTTATGGAACCGGGCACTCACCATGGTGCCACAACTTCCCCATTTAAATGTTATCGAATGCGCAACTTATTATCTATTTATTTATTTCATATCCATTAATAAGACTTGGATATAGTTCCTTTACATGCGGGAAATGGAGGCTGGCTCTTTGTAGACATGTACACTCCCACTACCGCTCACGTTCCATTGCAACGTGCACTGCTGATGCCTGCCTCATCGAGGGCAATATGTGCACGTTAAATAAAGATTGATTGATTGATAACAAGGGAGGATAAAAAGTTAACGCGGCGCGGGGCACCGACGCGAGCCAGCAGCGTTGCGTTCGCCGCTTTGTTGCGGAGGATCACGATTCGAATCGAGCGACAGCCACCCCGGAGATAACTGAAATAATCCCGCACGCAGTCTGCCTCGACAGCGGACATTAAATGTCGCCCGACGTCGTTCGCAAGAGGAGGCTCCCGTCATCGCGTGCCGGCATCAGGTTTCCAAATTTGCCAAATTCGGTATGAAATTACGCCATCAAATGTACCCAGTCGGGATGGCACGCACAAAGAAGCACTTATCGCCCCCTCCCTCCCGACAGGCAGACCGATGCTCCAGGTCGCTGTTGCAAATGAGCCTATCCTGGTCTCTTGAGTTCTCACCTGGTTCCACAAAATACACTTGATACTTTTCTCCGTGTGCGAGCAGCGTGACCCCGTTTTTAGAGACTGCTGCTGCTGCCACCGCACCTGACCCTCCCCCACCCTTCCCTCTCCATTTGCCGACTTCCCCAGAACATCAACGTGTCCTTCCAAGGCTGCGGTATGGACTCGTTGGCCGTCAAGGTCCTGGACTGTGACACCATTGGGCAGGTGAAGGAGAAGATCTTGGACGGATTCTACAAAAACTCACCTTGCTCCGTGAGACCGCGCGTCGAAGACGTCGACCTAGGTGAGGCTCTTGGCCTGTTCCCAACTTTGCGTGGCGTTGTATGAACCCTGCCATTACAGCCATGCATCGGGGTGGGGAGGGCAGTGGGTGGCAGGCATGACACGGTCACAGTTGACCGTTAAACAGGTGTCAATATGAGTTTAACACCTCGGCTTTCGCGACCAATATTTTTTATAATAGAGGTTTTCGGGTTAGAGTCCATAAAAATGTGGCGCAAGAATGGGTAACGATGTGATGTGCTTCCATCTATCTTGGGACTCACGTGAACTAAAACATTTTTCGGACGTGTAAATCGACAATAATTATAATCTTCTCGTGTGTAGTCATTCGAAGCGTGTATCGTCAGCACCGTGAGTTTGTTCAACCAATCTCTCCAAACGCACCGGCTCCTAAGCGAAACAAATCACAGCAGGAACTCTAGAGCTGTTGGCCGTGCACAAGTAATGCCACGCATGAAGAGCCAACACAGCAAGTGGGCGGCAGACTGGGAGACTTTCTCGTGATCACAAAGTGGCCCTGCGATGAGTGCACTGCCCACATTTTGAGTTTTAAATGCAATGCACAAATGCTAAATAATGATGATGTGGCCTGAAAAGGATTTGGCTTCCCCTCGCTGGCTCCACATTTGAACGTAAATCGAAGGTGGCTTGCCAGCTCGCGGCTTTAATGTGAGGATGCTGGGGAGCTGAGCCAACGGCCTCTGCATTGCCGCTGTGCTTTATTCAGAATTACCGAAGAAAGAAGGACGGACGGACGGACGGACGGGGGGGGGGGTGCGCAATTTGAAGTCATGCTGAAGGGTGATCGTATTTCCCCTTTGCTTCCTGGTGAAGTGAAACAGCCCAATTCGCCTCCCAATTAAATGACCCAAGAATGCACTCAATCTCGTCCAATCTTGGAAGCTAAGCAGGTGTTGAGCCCGGTTCATACTCGCATGGCGGACTGCCTGGGACTACTTGGTATTGTAGACTTGGGCTGCGAGGTTAGTCTGCAGGGCGGTAGTCCGATATTGCAGTGTGGAATATAAACGTGTATTGCCATTGTTGTATACATGGGTTTTCTCTGGGTACTCTGGTTTCGTCCCACATGAACACGAATGCTTATTGATGTGATAGGACAAGCATCCCAATGGAGGGCCCTGTTGGAAATGTGTCTTGACACATATAACAATAATGAAATCAGCCCTTTGTCAATCCACCGTTGAATGAAGGTCTACCCCATGCCGTGTCAGTCACGGGGGTTTGACCTTACTTCACCATCCTGGTCAGTGACGATTGGTTGGTGAAGGTGGGGGGGAAGGGGGTGGCCATGACGAGTTCAGATATCGCTCACCACTGACCTCAGCCGTGGCCAGGAAACGAACTCAGTATTCTCGGTTTCATCGCGTATAGCACTCACCACTGCTTTTTGTGTTGACTTTGTTGTCCTTTTTTTTCGATTTAAAGCTTTCGTGACTGCAGGGATTCATCTTCTTGGTTCTTTCGGTAAAGTCACGTAGAAGGGAAAAAATAAAATAATACAAATAAAACATAATAAAATAATTCTCACGACGTTTCGGCCACAACGCAAGCAGCCATCCTCAGGTGAAGAACAGGTCTGTCGAAAAGACAGCGTCTGAATGAAACACCACCAGGCTTGGAGCATGTATTTAAGCTGGGTTGGAGGGGGAAGAGCGCCTTGACAAAATAATTTGCATTTCAAGAGGAATTTAGCATATTTATGGGAAATGCAGATATGGGATTAGTCATTACTTGTGGAATGTGTACCTCCAATTAGCGCAGTTTGCTACGTACGGTGCAAAATAAGTTAAACATTCATACATAAAAAAAAAATTATTCAGGGTATTATTATTGTTATTAACTCTGGGACGTCATTTTTATATATATGAGCCATGCACAAAGCCTACTGAGTGCTTTGGCGGGCGGGTCACTCAGGAGGAAGTAGTACATACATGCACGCCACTCGAGGTGACAAGGCAGCGGAGGGCACCGTGTTTAATGGGTCATTGTGAAGTGACTAAGTGAGGAGCTTTGTGTCTGCTGGGCCTGCCCCGTTCATTAAAAATGTAAACACATCATTTGTGGCCTCCACGTGCACACTATAATGAGTTTACAATTTCACCGAAAGTGTGCCCATAAAGATATCGCCCATTATCAAAGACTCATAATGGGGCTGCATGTTGAGCTCGGTCAATACAAAGTACAAAGACAAATATCTCCCGTATAGCCCTCAACAGGCTGTTGGGATAAGTGCTGTTCGCGAGCACCTATTAAGGCCGGAATATGCACGGCATGGCACACGAAAGAGTGCTGTGGCCAGCACCACGCCCGGCCGCCTTATGTCTCCACAGTGCTGCTGTTTTCGCACGGAACCAGCTACTCCACTTAGAATCGAATCGAATGTGGGGAGGCTCAGGACTGGTTCAGATATTCGTCTCTGTTGGCTGTGAGCAGGAATCGAACTCAGGTCACCGAGTTCTTTGTGCGGTGAGCTAGCCACCGGAAACTTCCATCTATAGCTTAATTTGTCCACCATGGCTTTGGCGACATGCATCATATCAAGATGTTAGTGAGTCCCAGGTGTATGCCAGCATCTCAGCTCAGGTTGTTTTCGAATTATTGAGTTGTTGGGTGCTGTTGGAGATCACTTGAAGGTTCTTTGGTTTTAAAACGTGCGTGCATAGTAGACACGAGGTGGGGCACTGGTGCTGTGGTTCTCTTACTGCACCGTGAGCCCAGCGACCTCGGTTTGAATCCTCGTCACGGCTAACATCAGTGGCAAGAGTCATCTGTCGGTTTCTTGGCCCACGCTCCATCACCAACCCACACTGGCCAGCGGTGATGAGTTCAAACAGTTCCCATGATGATCAGAGAGAATGGAGGCGTTCATTCAGCAGTAGATTGACTTCGGGCTGTAAACTGTTTATCAGAAATACGTTGCCAACATTTCAACCCCACATTTCAATCCATTGTCGAAAAATAACAACAATCATTGCAATTATTAGCATTACTTTATAATGAATTCAACCTTCATGGACACCCTGTATATAGCTATCTCACTCGAAGGAGCCACATGAACTGAGAATTGTAACAATGAGTGTGTTGCGCAGGTCACATGCGTGTGCGCTGTGAATACGAACGCGAAACTCGGCCGCTCGAGAATCAGCGACGCGCTGCAACAAATTCTCTGTCAGTCGCATGAACTTCACTGGCCTGGAAATGAAATCGCTCCTCAAAGTTCACGTGCGTTGTGCGCCCTGCCGCCCCCTCCCACGTCGGGCACCCACAGAGTGGTTCCCCGAATCCGGCGGGAGCATCATGCTGCGGAACCTGGTGGACATCTCGCAAGTAGAAGGGGAGAAGCAGAAAATAAACCGCGTGTCCGTCTACCAGGTGAGTAGCTGCCCAGGCAACAACTTCGAGCAGGGCTTCACGCGCGGACGCTTTTGTCGCAAGTCGCGCTGAGGATAAGGCTTAGGATTCGCATGAACGGTGGCGCTTGCCTAAATGCGTCGGCAAACCCGGAGCACCCTACATCGCATCATCTCGCATCGACCTGCTGCTGTCTAATTCTAGATTTGAAGCTTTCGTGACTGCAAGGATTCACACTGGTAGGTTTTTTCGGTAAAGTCACGGACGGTGAAAAATACAATTGAAAGTTAATAAAAGTAATAATGGAAATAAAGTAAAATAATAAATCACGACATTTCGGAGACAACACAAGTCTCCGTCATCAGGTGGGACCATCACAGCTAAAATGATGCAGTAATTTTAGCTGTGACGGTCCCACCTGATGACGGAGACTTGTGTTGCCTCCGAAACGTCGTGATTTATTATTTTATTTCCATTATTACTTTTATTTACTTTTAATTAAATTTTTTACCTACGTGATTTACCGAAAAAACCTAACTGCTGCTCTCTAGCCAACTGGGGCCACCAGTGGCAGCCGAACCCCTGTGCGGCGCGAGGTGTACACATCACCGGCCCAGCACTCACTGAGTCACTCGAGGTCGTCGCCTCCTCATCGCCCACGGCCACTGTTTCCGCGAACTCCACGCATTGCTTCCTCCATGCTGAGTACTCAGCGCACCACAAGAGCACTTCTCCTTCTGCAGTTCCCCTCGCACTGCTCGAGTTTATAATTCCCCCCCCGCCCGCCCCAACGGCTCCTTTACAGCCACTTTTATGAAGTATAGACAGTGTATATATGTTTTCTCATGGTGTATAATTTTTCTGTTTTCATGTTTATGAGTGTTAATGTGCGATGGCGCTTCGAGTGGCAGATTTGTGGCACCAAGGCGCCACGTGGTTAAGCAAGAATAAAATGTACTCGACGTTAACCGAGCTGGTATAATAACTGTGTTCAATTGAAGTATCGATGGTAATCTATTACAACTTCAGTATTGCTGTTTGCTGCTCGTCGCTGAGAGTTTGGAGCCTGTGCTCAGCTAATGTGTAATGGAAACAAAAATACTTTGCTCATTGTAAAAACACTCAACGCATCTGTCCTCCTGATGCTGAGATTTTTTGTTATTTGTGGTTGTACACCACTGTCAAGCAGCAGCAGCAGCAGCAGCAACAGAAGAAACAAATAACGTGTTTAAAACCAAAAGCAACAGCTCAAGGACGGGATAAGCTTGTCACCCAACTCCAGCAACACAGGGGGGCCTTGGTGAGGCCTTGTAAAATCCTCGGCGGGCCTCTCTCTGATGGGTGTGTTCATTTTTACAGATTCCTGATGGGGCGTCTTTAGCGCTGAGCTTCAAGGACAAGAAAAACATCTGTCCGAACGAAGGTGCACAATGTTACACGGGCGCACACTGTAACCCACGTTCTTGACAGAGCGCCCTATCGCACGGATGGACACTCACACATACTCGAACACTCAGTCACACTGATGAAGGCACAGAGAGAGGGCGTTTCTTAAAACAGAACTTTCACTGGCAGCTGGGATTAACATCTCGGTCCCCCCCGCCCGCCCCGTTCTACAGATTAAAGTTTAGGACTCACGGCTACACTGATTTTAACAACTACCAGGCATCTTGTTTTGTCAGTGTTTCACAGAAGGCCGTGCCTAGGAGTATTAACGCAAGGCTGCCTTGTCGTATTTTTTTTCATGATTTCAGAGTTTTTTTTTAAATTGTGTATTAAGATACATCTTTTTATTTACATTGTAATTGTTTTTTCTTTCAGATAACGTTAAGGACAATGACAACTATTTCCACCTGGTAAGTTGATATTTTCACATGAAATTTTATGTTTTATCTATATATATGTATTGTCATGTCATTTGCGGGGAAGTTGTCGAATGTTGCAGCACTGATTTCTTTGCCTTCCAGGTGACTCCAGCTGATGAGATGATGGAGGTTAAGAAGTCTAAATCTCAACAAGGAAAAAGAAAGAAAGTCCTGCCTGAGGTTTACCTCACAAGGCTTCTGTCGACGAAGGTATCCTGATGCACTGTGCTCGTTTATAGCACGAAAAGCCTCACCGATTTGGCGAACTAAAAATCATAATAATACCATTATTGCAACAAGGCCTTAGTATATCTCAAAACTCTTTTGCCGGACGGTCCTGGACAATTCAATTCGCGAGTGTTTGGTTTCATGCGTGAGTAAACGCGAATAGCCAGAGAAAATACCCACGTGTATGAGAGGGCAACACACAGAAACCTTCAAGAAAGATTTCCGTATTGTCTTCCCGAGGCCACCCTGTAAGCCCAAGTGTCCAGGGTCTTGTATTGCCAGACATATTCCCATCCAATAACTAGCCATGCTCAACACCGCTTAACTTCCGAGGATTTGGTAAGACCGGGTGCATTTAAGTTGATTTGGTTGTCGGCTTTGTGAGTAAACCATCCAGTTGCCACCGTACAATAGTGGCCTCCGAACTCTGTGATGTCGTCAGACTGCTGCCTTCTCTTCCACTGAGCCCCTCTGCTTGTCTTCCCTTCCCTCGGTCTCTGGAGTTTTGCCTCTCATCTCTCGTCATTAGTTTTCATGACACGTGCTGTCCATGTCCACCTGAGTTATTTTGCTTTAGTAGCAGCAGCAGCCTCGGTGATCCATCATTCGGTTACCCCTGTTTTTCATTATTTCCTATTTCAATAGCATGCCATTAATATTCGCGACGTTTGACGGTCATGCGATCTTTACCGTCCACCGTGAAACGGATTGCACGCACCGCCGTAGTGTTAACCAGGGCGGCCGCTAGCCTCAGACCGCGATCCTCCGTAGCCTAGTGGCAAACGCGCCACCCACCGCTGGATCATGTCACCGCAGGGCACGCTGCAGAAGTTTGTGACCGACCTCTTCCGGGCGATCCTCACGTACCCGACAGAGCAGCCGCCCATGGCCATCAAGTTCTTCTTCGACTTCCTCGAGGAGCAGGCGGAGAGTCGGGGAATTGTGGACCCGGAAACCGTGCACATCTGGAAGACCAACAGGTACCTGCTCAGGCTGCCCAACCAACTGACCGATTAGATGCTCGCACCTGTGAATCTCACGAATCACAGTTCCCTACGTGTGTCTCGTTGGTAACATACAAGGGATTTGTGATGTGTTTGTGATAAGATCCGCCCGGCTTCATGCCGATGGCGTCTCAGAGTACTCTACACGCGACAAGCGACTTACATCTCATCTCAGTGCATTGAAAGGGCACCCCCAGTGGCAGCTGTTCCGTTGTGGCACAGAACGACTCGGGTGGGTGTACCTACAAGCGGGCATGAGTCTTCCGTTAGTAGGCGATGACCCCTGCGATGCGTAATCCCGAATTGAGCAATTCGCGAGTAGTTTTTTTCTAATTTGGCAAATCTCGACCATAATGCCGAGACACAACGGCCCACTCATTTAAGATTACATCATGGGATCTTTAACGTCCACTGTGATGCACACGGCACACGTGTTATGGTTAACACACCTGCAACATTAACCAGGGCTGCCTGCCGGATTTAACCGCGAACCTCTGCAACAAGCGTTGAACAAGCTACTGCAGGGCTGCGTCACCCTGGTCCGTTGAATTTTTGTGAATCTGTATTTTACTATTGCTCAAGATCTGTTTGTAAACGGTACACGGGTAATGCAACGGGCTGTTTCGTCTGGATTGACAAATTGCATCTTTCACCAGGCGGCCAATGACATGCACGACATGAAAATGCTCAGGCACATTCATTTTTATTATTGCTTCGAATGAATGTTGGCAATGCAGCATGAGCATATGCCCCAAATGTACAAATAGAAAGATCCCCTGTATTATAGCCTTAACAGACTGTTGGGGCAAGTGCTGTTAGCGAGCACCTATGAAGGCCAGCACGGCCAGCACCATGCCTGGCCCCCTTTGTCTCCCTAGTTGTAATATTTACATATTGCACTAGGTACTCATTTGAGGCTCAGTCGACCTAGGGAGAGGCCCGGGACCGCTTCAAATAATCGTCACTGGTGTTGGCCATGAACAGGAATCGAAATCGGGTCGCCAGGTTCGTAGCGTAGCGCTACCCTCTGCACTGCATAATTGAGAATTCAGCATGACCATTTGCCCCAAATGTACACACACACACAATCACGTGTCTGAACCTAGGAGAAACCCAAGGCACCTTTGTGATCCTTAGGGTTTCGTGTTATTGCTCAGGGGTTCACAGTGTCAGACTAAGGCTTTAAAATCCTTCACGTTCAATCGCATTGCTCGGGACACGTTTAGAATTGCCCGCTGCTTTAATCCAATCTCAAGACAGCCCGGTATTAAGATTGCAAAGGTGTGGCGAAACCCATCACAGTCATTAAACAAACGACACAGGTTTATCACTTTATTCATCCGCAGTTAACTTGCACAAGAAATAAAGAAACGGGACACGCACGTCCACCAGGTGTGCAGTTTTGTGCGCGACCGCAATACATAAAAAAATCTCTAAACAGCAGCAGCACCGGTTACACGGCGGCATGGGTGCCACGGCGCGACACTAACCCCGCTGCATTTGTTCACGGCTGACAGAGACCCTGAAGGCAATTACCCGTACGAGTTGTGGCAAATGAACGGTGGTGGGTGTAGTGGGGGGGAAGGGGGTACACGTGCCATCACAGCTCATCTCGATGATGCCCATCAGCCGCTCAGCGCCGTGCGGCTGTGTCTCCACAGCCTGCCCCTGCGCTTCTGGGTGAACATCCTGAAGAACCCGCAGTTCGTGTTCGACTTGGAGAAGACCACGCACATGGACGCCTGCCTGAGCGTCATTGCGCAGGCCTTCATCGACGCCTGCTCCCTCTCGTCGCTCACCCTTGGCAAGGCAAGCGGCTGGGCGAACACATGGGCGGGCGCGCAGGCGGGTTGGCTTTTGAGTGCGGAGGAATGTTCATTCTGGTTCAAAAATATTAATAAAATACGATGTCCTTTATTGATGGCCCATGGCCAAGGATAATAACAAAGCGGCAGGCAGGGATTGGAACGTGTCAGACAGGCACGTCTACCGAGGAGATGGAGCGATGGAATCAGCTCATGTGCAGGTGTTGGGCGGATTTACCACATCGCAGGATTGTCAGGGATAGCGATGGCCTTAGGAGGCTCTCACCCAGCAGTGGAAATAAGCAGACAACTTGTCTCCTTCACACATGTGTCTCTCCACGTAACAAATAAAGACTTCTACACATTCCATCGGCTGTGCGCCCTTCTGGGAGTGCGTAATGTCAGCAGTGCTGATTGAAGACAAGCAAATTGGATCCAGAAGTGGAATGACCGTGGCTGATGATGATGATGATGGCGATAATGATACCTCCCCTTTAGCTTATAACAGAGCATCATGAAATCAAGGTCAGAGTGTGCCAACCACTGTGCCACCATTCCTCCCCCTCTACGGCGTGTGACATTTATGAAATTCTCTCCCAATTCACCGCACCGATTCGCAATTATTACGCACATTGCAGCGACTTCATTCGTGTCTGTAAATCCACGCGCCGGCAGTTTCAGCTCGACCCAAGCGCGGCTGATACGTGGAAGTCACAAATCAGGCCTCGCGGGGGTGGTGGTGGTGGTGGTGGTGGTGGAACCACGGGGCTGCCGCGTCACGGCTCGCGTCCCCGCGGGGCCCTGCGGAGCAACGGGCGCTGGAAGGAAGCGTGCGCTAGAATCACGGCCACAGGAAGCCTGGATTAATCAGCCGAGGGAAACGCGGACGGCCAGACGGACCTCTGTTTTGTTTTTGCTTTGTTTGTCCGGCGTCTTCGTGTGCCACTTTAGGCACGCGACGGGGGCCACATTTAGGCGTTTTGTTTTCGGGTTTTTTCTTTCGCTCACCTTGTGGCAGCAGCGGTGGCAGCGTGGGAATGTTTTCCAAGAAAATTCCTGCGGGGATCACTTTGGAATAAAATGAATGTTTTGTATATTTCCCCCTCCCCCGCCCCGCCGCCCACCACGTTTTTTTCCCCTTCATCGTTAAATTGCAACAACAAAAAAGACGATTTATAACAATTCTGGATCTGAAACACTACCCAATTGTTGGATGAGGTCAATGGAAATGGCTCTGCCGTCTGAGATAGCGTCCCTCCCCATGTGTGTGTGTGTCTGTGTCCATTGAGTTTGTGATTCTGCATCTATTAATAACCTGGAGTTGTGAAACACAGCATTAACACGGCGGCGCATTTCCTAGAAATCTACTTCAAAGTGTAGCAGCCTCATTAGCACTCACATTCAACATGCTGCTCCCCCGTCGTTAATCTTACAACCTGTACAATATAATTTCAGTTGTTTACAGACATGCATTTCTACATTACGTTGCATTATAATCTATGACAATGAATGTGGATTGGAACCAGTGCCTAAATGTCACAGCATCTCAAGATGCTGTGCAGATGCACAGGGAAGGAGGGACAGAGACATTTTTATTTATTTTTATTTTTTGGCGAGTGGTAGAATTTCACAGCCCAGGAAGGGCTTATCGCAGGGTGCATCCATGGTGATTTGTTTGTCGGAATTTCACTTGAGGGCCGGCCCTCGTGGTCCAAAATTTTTTTCCACACACAAACAAAAAATAACTACTGAATTGGAATAACCGATGGCAACATCGCCCCCTTATAACGGACGACATTATTCGTAAAGCTCGATTGGTAATACGCGTGACCAGTCCTCGCCCCCTCATGACAGACTCATGCCCATTGGCAGGCCAGTGCCAAATGGCATTGTGCTGCACAAAGACAGCTACAACTGGGGGTGCCCCCGGCTAAACTAGAGGATAAAAATACACTCGAGTTGGCAATTGTAATGACGGGAATTAGATGCAAGGCACTGCGGGATTTAAGCACCCATTTAAGCGTCCATTAAATTGCGCCACATGTTAATTCCCTCGCCTGGTATGCAGGAGGTCGTGGGTTCGATCCCCACCCTGGTGTCTGTATATTTGGAGTTTGCATGGCTCTCTTCCCGTGGTGGTGTGGATTTTTCTCCGGGTCCTCTGGTTTTTTTCTCCGCATTTAGAAACATGCCTTTAGAGCTATTTCGGTAAAGTCACGTAGGTATAAAGTTATTATACCTACGTGACTTTACCGAAAGAACCAAAGAGTGTGGATTGCTGCAGTCACGAAAGCTTCAAATCAAGATTAATGCGTTTCGAGTATTTGACTGCTTTACATTTCCACATGATAAGCCACTTCGTTGAGCTATCATTTTGTGGCCAGGTTGCTTCTGAAACAAACCAAAAAGCCACGTAGCTCAGTGGGCCTTACCCGGTAAGATAAAAAAAAATCATTGAGTTTTTTTAGTAAACACAAAACCTTAATCTTATCCCTCACGCTGAGAATGTGCCCGGGGCACGGAAGCAGGTGCGTCGGCGTTGTCTATCAGCGCGAGTGGACGCACGGTGCAACCGTCCTCAGCTGCAACTCAATAACGCACGGGCGCGGGAGGCCCCGCCGGCACTACGGCCCTGCCGCCCCCTCTGACGCCCCCTCTCCCACTCGTGATCTTTCGGTCACAGTTCCTATGATCACTGTTTCATTGCTTTTATGGCTTTATTTTGGTGATTTTCGAAAAGTTTTTTGGTTTGGCCATGTTTGTTTGTTGTAGTACAGAGTTAGACTGATGGCCTTAATCTAAGTTGTCTTGTGGTTGTTGTTGTTTGACTTGCATCCCACTGGGAATTTTGCACACAGCGTTGGTGTACGGTGCCTTTTCTGCAATATATTGCTGTCTTTTCTTGGATTTTCTGTTTGCACATAGTCACTTTAAGATGTTTTCTTGTTCAAGTTTTTGTTTTCTGTTTGTTGCGGTTGCACCCGAGTCAAGAGCCGAATGGCTCACAGGGCTACACCTAATGAATGAACTTGAAACTTGAACTTGAAACTTCCTCACCTTATTCTTGCCGGTAAAGTACATCCTGGCTCGCCCGCTTTTTTTTTCTATCTGACAACATAAATAGAGCGGTCTGCTGAGTGTTGAGTTGACGGAAAATTAATCGGTGCTCAATTTCGGTCGGCCTTGTCCAGATGACCGTTCCGCCAAATATTTTAGGCAAGGCCACATCCATCTCGCCTTATAATGCCCTCATTGTTATACCCTATACGCCTATTACACATGCACATAGGATTATAGGAATAGAGGCCACGAGCAATGTAGATAAATATTGTGGATGGATATACCTTGGACTGTACTCTAGTAGTTGTGCCTCGTAATCTCTACTCCAAGCCAGACTTGCTGCTTGGAAATTAAGCGCTGGAAATAATAATAATAACAAGTCTAAGGCAGTGTTTTAAGCCTGGGACTTTTAATCTCGATGGGTGCATCCCGAGAGCCGTAGTTGTTCCTTCGCAGTCACAAAAAAAGTCCAGCTGTAACATTCTCCCATAGGGAACAGCCCAAGCACGCCTGTGTGTGTGTGTTTGTGTGTTGTGTGTGTGTGTTGTTACGGGGAGCGATGGAACAGAGGTTAGCGTGCTGCGCTACGCACCCGGCGACCCGAGTTCGATTCCCACTCACGGCCAACACTGGTGACGATTATCTGTGCCAGTCCTGGGCCTTCCTTAGGTCGACTCGGCCTCAAATCAGAACCAGCCACCCACCCGCTTTGTGTGCCGTGCCAGCCTGGTAAAACAAAAAAATGGTTTAGTTTTTGTTTAGTTTAATAAGGGCACGCTAACAGCACTTTCCCCAAAAGTCTGTGAAGGCTATACGGAGGAGCGGAGGGGTCGTCGTCTTTGTTTGTCTAGTTGTGTAATTGTGCCGCTGCTTTAGCAGGAACGCCCGTGCCCTTGTCATTCCCACGTGGCCGGCTTCATCTCACGGAACAAGCCGCTCCGTTGTGATGGGGCAGCGTTGGAGCGCACAAGAGCCTGGTGTATTTAAAAAAGTAAAAACCTCGTCATCGGCGATGGCGGGGCGCGTCAGCCGAGCGGGGCGCACTCACAAGGCGCCCCTTTATGCGCCCGTCTCCCTTAACCGAAACCTCGTGCCTCTTGCCGTTTTGTTCCCACACGCCCAGGACTCTCCCACGAACAAGCTGCTCTACGCCAAGGAGATCCCCGAGTACAAGAGCCTGGTGTTCGAGTACTACAAAGACATCCAGCAGCTGCCCATGCTGAGCGAACAGGAAATGAACTCGTACATGGCCGAGGAGTCGATGGTGCGTGTTTTTGCGAGCGCACGCACGCACGCGCGGTTTAGTTCGACGTCGGTGACGAATTTCTGAACTGGTCTTCAACCGTGAATGAGTACCGAGTGCGGTGCGTAAACATCTCAACGTTGGCGGAGACGTGCAAAGGCGACACAGGACGTAATGCTGGTCACACTACCCCTGGTGTGCCGTGTCGGCCTTCATTGGTGCTCGCTAACATCACATGCCCCAACAGCGTAGGTTGTCGGGGGGACCTTTGGACACGCGCAATGAACACAGCGCAACCGCGCTGGATTCTGGACCACGGCTAAGTGGTGGTGAACTGATGACTGAACCCTTGGGCCACCCTGTCCAGATTGGCTCAGACTTAAATGAGTACCCCGTGTGCCGTGTGCTCATTCCGCACTGGCGAGACAAAGGTGACCCGGCGTGCTGTTGGCCACAAACGACGCCCTCACGTGCCGTTTCCGGCCGTCAGAGACACTGGCGAACAGCACTTGCCCCTACGACCTGCGTAGGCAACAATGGGGGGATCTCTGTTGGGTGCGTGTACACATGTCAAGCATTCCACTGCTGGATGGAGGGCCTTCCCATCTATGCCGGTGCGACTCGTGGGAGGCGGGTGGGGTCGTTTCGACCGGACTTCAAGCCGATCGCTGTGGCTTGGTGAAGGCGGGGAGCGTACACCTTGGCACCAAAGAAACAAACAGTACGCTACAACAATGGGTGTTTTTTTTCTGCCTCGCCCCCTGCTGCCCACCGTGTAGCCCCAACAGCAGCCCACATCTCGCATCCTCTGTTTAACGGGCGGCGGTCACAGCATCCGTTGACCAGCCAGTCCAGGCGATGCTCGTTATTCTACGTGACTTTACCGAAAGAACCAAGAAGATGAATCCCTGCAGTCACGAAAGCTTTAAATCGAAATTCAGCCAATAGTTGCGTAGACTTCTTCTAGATTTGAAGCTTTCGTGACTGCAAGTATTCATATTCTTAGGTTTTTTCGGTAAAGTCACGTCGGTATAAAATTAAAATTAATAAAAGAAAAATAAGAAGAAAAATAAATTTAATTTTTTACCTTTGTGTAGACTTAACGTGATCACAGTTCAGTCACGGTCCACACCCGCTCGCCCGCAAAGAAGTTGCCAGCGGAGGAGGGGGGGTGTAGGCAGATTTCATGGGTCCTATCTGTAATCTAACCAACCAATAACCAGCGGGAACCATTCGCTAGTCAGGCACCCCTCCGGCTTCCAAAGTGTGGCTGTGCCCCCTGGCTGCGAGGGAGTTGGGGGGGGGGGCTTGGTACGCAGGCGGTGGGAGCTGTGGGTGGGGGGGGGGGTGAAACCTCAAGAGACTCGGTTCACCCGATCCAACCCAACCCTTCCTGCCCTTCCACCCCCCTCCATAACAATTCCCCCCCCACAACCCCATTCTTCCAACCCCGCACCCTCCCCCCCCCATCCTCCCAACCGCCCAGGCAGAACATGTTTTCCGAGAGTGACACGGCCACAGGAAATTAACCGCCTTGTCAGCGAAGCCGTGCCGCCAAATTCGCGCCGGGCGTTTATTCGCTCGGCGGACGTGGCTCCAGCTGCGTGTCGGAGCAATGCCGGAGGCGCGGAAATGCAGCGCGCGATGCAGTGGCGTGATAAACTAAACTAAAAACTAAACCATCTTCTTGGCTCTTTCGGTAAAGTCACGCTGTCTCCCCGATAGACCTGGTCTTCACCTGAGGACGGCTGCTTGCGTTGTGGCCGAAACGTCGTGAGAATTATTTTATTATGTTTTATTTTTATTATTTTATTACTTCCCTTCTATGTGACTTTACCGAAAGAACCAAGAAGATGAATCCCTGCAGTCACGAAAGCTTTAAATCCAAATTAAAAACAAAACTTAAATTTTTTTTTACCAGGTAAGGCCCGCCGAGCAGTGGAGCTCTTTTTCAGAAGCGACCTGGCCACTAATGATAGTTCAACAAAGTGGCTTATCACGTGGGAATATATAGCAGCCAAACACTCTAAATGCACGTTGATTCTAAATGTGGGAGGGAAAAACCGGAGGACCCGGAGAAAAACCCACATGACCACGGGGAGAGAGACATGCAAACTGCAAATATACGGGCGTCATGGTCGGGATCGAATCCACGACCTCCTTTATACTTGGCGAGGTAGTTAACATCTCGCCAACCAAAGCACCCGCAGCCGTGCCGAGCTTTTCCTGGCTGTGCCGCTGTACAGTCTATGCCGTGTGTTTTCCGGTTGTACCTCCTCCCGACGTTCCGCTCCACATGGTCCGGAGGTCCACTTCTGTTTTTTGCCGAATAGTCTCTTAGCACAGGGAGCGAAACGTCGGGACGTTGTGCAAAAACGACGCCCGTGGCACAACCACGAAAAATCCCATCGGAGAGGAGTTAAACGAGGTCACTGATGTGTCATCGGAAACCCACTCACTGGAAAAAATGCGCTTTACTACCCGTCCTGCGAATGAGCGGCAGTATAACAGCGGCAGCTTGCTCAGCCATCCTGGGTTTCGTTTTACGCTGTGAAATTTAATTGAAATGTTGTCTAGTTGTACACAGCTGTGACTCAGCCATCCAATTTACAGTAAGTGTTTTGTGGCACCATTGCATCACGTGCTGTGACTCAGACGAGTTCCTGTCTTTGACTACGAACAAGATAAAACTGGTGATAGGCAGACTCGACTCAGGATGAGGATAAGTTATGATTTGCACTGACAGGGCTATAAAACTCACCAGCATCTCAAAGTGCCTCCCATCACATCTCATCTTATCCGTTCCATTGCCCTCCAGCTGTCTAGCATAATGAGACTCCCAGTAGCAATGATCGAAGTTGTTTCATCCAATTAATTAATCCAGTCGGTGTTTTATAACGATCAATTATAATGATTATTACCTATTTACCCCAGAATGCCACAGTGGCTCCAAAGACTAATTTCTCAGGAGGGCCCTGCTGATTGGGGATGTTTGGCCAAGACAAACGACATTGTGTGTGTGTGTGTGTGTTTTATATGGAAGAAAACCATTGATACCAGAAGAGACCCGTGCAGAACAGGGCGAGAACATATGTACGCCACGTAGAAAAGGCTTCAGAGTCAGGAATCGAATCCCCTGCCACCCGGCCGCTTTGACAATGTGGTTATTTATATTATACTCTTTGGTTCTATCGGTAAACTCAAGTAGGTAGAAAAAATAAAAATAAATATTTTATTTTATACCTACGTGACTTTACCGAAAGAACCAAACAGTATGGGTTCCTGCAGTCACGAAAGCTTCAAATCAAGATATTTATATGATGTCGAATAAACTTGTTTGTCCGTGTTTTTTTGTCTTTTACTGATGGTAATGAACAATTCTGCGTTTTCAGTTCCCGAGATTGATTACATGTTTTATTTTTTTGTCACCAGAGGTACACCAATGAGTTCAACACCAACTACGCCATGTCAGAAATATACAAGTACGCAAAGAGGTATCGACACGAGGTAAGCGATACTTCCTGGGAAATAACGTTTTTGCTTGAACAACCCATCGCCTCTTAGACAGCACGGCTAAAATACCGTAACCACTTGCGTAAAAGATTGCTCACTGGTGTAAACTCAGCTTTGACACAATAAAATCACTCGTCAGAATATGCCGTCATTATTATTATTATCATCAAGTGCCAACTGCACTAGAGTGTGCGATACAGTTTTGACGGTATCCGCAATTCTTTTTTGTTGTGGCTGCAAATCCACATAAAATAAATTTTGCACATTACGCAAAATCCAGCCGCGCGGCTGAGCAGTTGAGCACGCGGCTGCGGCGGGTTGACTCAGCCCACCACGTGGAGGGAAGTCACCCATGGTTATCCTATGCAGAGACTTGCCCCTGCCATAAGAATGTGGAATTTCCACCACTGGCTGAGGACTCTAAACGGTTGTGATCCACCAAACCCCCATTCCCATCCAGGCGTCACTTGTCCAGCGTGCGTTTGAATCAGGAATTGATGAAGTCTTTTCACATTACGTTCAACGTTTCCCAATCATTCAGTTTATATTATTTCGGGTTTCGTGGTTTTACACTCAAATCCAAATGCAATTATTCAGCCATGATCTATCAGCTGCTGGATGAAGACCTCCCCAACCGCCGCAATGCTAATTTAAGCAGATGATCACTTTTGACTTTTTGACGTGAAATTTAACTAATTTTCGATTATGTGGTTCGGGTTGTTCGGTTGCTGGGTGAAACAGCGTGCCGCGTGTGCGTGTGTTCTGTGTGTGTGTGTGTATGATGTGTGTGTGTGTGCGTGTGTGTATGGGAGAGCGGTAGTGTAGCGGTTAGTGCACTGCGCTACGAACCCGGCGACCCGAGTTCGATTCCCGCTCACGGCCAACACCAGTGACGATTATCTGAACCAGTCTTGGGCCTCCCTCTCGGTTGACTCAGCCTAATATGAGTATCTGGTGTAGTATGTAAACATCGCCAGTGGGGAGACAAAGGCCGTTAGGCGTGGTGTTAGCCACTTACCCCTTTGTGTACCATTCCGGCCTTCATTGGTGCTCGCTAACAGCACTTGCCCCAAACGGCTATTAAGGCTATTAAGGCTATACAGCGGATCTTTGTCTTTCTTCATATTTGTGCGTGTGTGTGCGCGTGGCATTTCCACGACAGATCGTCGACTCACTGGAAGAGAATCTGACGACGCGCAAGATGCAGCTGGCCCACAAGTTTGAGCAGGTCATCGTCCTCATGGAAGACAACATCTATGAAACCTGCAGCGAAGTGTGAGCCCCTTCGCCAAGCAGCGCCGGGCCCAGAGCATCAGGTGGACCGACTGTGTGGCCAAATCTCTCTCAATCTTTCATTGGTTCTTGGAAATAATGCAAAGAAGCGTGACTTATTTTTCCAAGACCGCCTCTCCGGAAACACTGGGTGGACCGACCTACATTGGGTGAACGAGCTACTGCCAATTCATGCCGAATGCTCCTGATCTCATCGGATCTCGGAAGCTAAGCAGTGCTTTGACGTTGCTTAGCGCTTAGATGGGTGACGACCACCGGGGCTTGCCAGGCGTTGTAGTTGTGGAGTTGCACGGCGTCGTCAGGAGATGGCATTGTTGAGTGTTATCCCCCGTGTCTAATGCGTGGTGGGTTTTCTCTGCGCACTCAGGTTTTCCTCCAAAGATGAAGCTAAACACCCAATGTAGCAGGAGCCTGCTGAAAAATATATATTTGCATTAGCATTGCTATTTTATTTTACAGGTTGCGCTTTCATTATAATAACGTTTCGTTTTTGCAAAGCGTCGTTCAATCAAATTGCATCTCACGATCGGTGGGGAACCGCAGACAAGCTGTGGAGGGAAGCTTCTGAATTGTTCGATTGAAAGAGCACATTTCACAGCTGATACATTGCCCCGTTCTGTGGTTGCATCGAAGCGTTCGTGTAACCGAGTTACGCCCAGCGTCGATAAATAATGGGCAGCTCGCTATTTACATTTGCACGACAGACCACTTCAACTGTGAAACGAAGGATTTCACCCAATGACGTGGCAAGGCAGTGCCGGGGAAGTGATGAGAGAAGAGTGATAGTTTTCTGTTGGGTAAGTGAATTTACTCCACCATGGAATTTCTGCAATTTGCATTCAGCCAAAAAAGGGTGATGACTCCCGTCCAATGTGCTGGGCCTGGTTTGTCGAGTGGTGTGGAGTGCGCAAAACCTGTAAGTCAATTTTTGCTGCGCAAAAAAAAATGTATACACGAACGATGCAGTCTGCGGAGATTGCACTTTAGCCATGCAATTGCCTTGTATTGCTTCCTGTTTAAAAATGCAGTGTTTATTGGCGACAGAATGATCAGTTTGGGAGGTGGAGCTGTGCCCTAGGTTAATGTGAAGTGCGGAAGTCTGCCCGTCGAATGGTTCGTAGGCATGTAACGAAGCATAATTTCACGAATTGAAATTGATTCTCGCAGCATCGGATCGTGCACGGAAGGATAATTTATTGGTAATTCACGCACGATACATATGCGAGTGATATGTAAAAAGCACACGGTCTTTGTTTACGTGCAAAAAACCATCAGAATTTACTGAAGAAGTCGAAATTGTCTTAGATCACCATCAATATAAATATAAGCAGAAGAGGAGCACAATGCAATTATTCAGGAAATGCTAATGATTTTATTGCATATGCACAAAGGCTGTGTACTTTTGACACATTTTACGACCTTGATTGAAGCTCGGGGTGTTTCAGCCTGCACCATGATTCTCTTGTGATTGGGGTTTTCTCGTCATTACAGTTTTGATCACCTAATCGAAAAAGAAAACAAAATTCTGGACAAATTAGACCAATAAAAGAAACCACGCAAACGCCATACGATGAAGAAGTTTAAGTAAAATTGTGACCAAGAATCGTGACAATTCATCGAATTGCCGGGGTCATCTATTGTTCCATGCCTTGTGATAAACAATCTGTAAAAGTACTCTTAACCTGAGGCACTTGCTTTGTCTACAACGACACAGGCTGAAGCACGTAAACATTACAAACCGGTGCCCTCATAATGTCCAGATGTGGTAGCTGAGTCGTGTCCATCCAAGGCGAAACGAAGCATCGATTCAGCCAGTAATGGCCATGATCGAGCTCGGGATATGTGCGACGAGTCGCGCGTTTAAGAGTCGATGTTTGTTGGTTCGTATATATGGGGCCGTCCATAAATGACGTCATGCACCTGGGGGGGATCAGACATTTGTGACGATGTGTGACGGGGGGTTGAGAAATGTGACGTCACATCAAAATGCTCAACTTTAAATAAATATAGACAACACGTTCTACTTAATTAAATATACTTTTTTAAATAAATATTTTCTCCTACAACATCAGAGTGCAGCGCCACATTAAATACGCACTACAATGACAATAGTTTAAAGCGATTTGAAGCATGTTTTATTTTGACTGGGGGGGGGGGGGTGCAGAGCTTTGTGACGTCATATTTGAGGGGGGGTCGGACTTTTTGTGACGCCGTGTGACGAAGGGAGGGTCAAAAATTGTCCAAAATCGCGTGACGTCATTTATGGACGGCCCATATGTTGTAAGCAATGGGCTCACCGATACACAATGTGAAACACTTGATTCATTACACATGAATCAACTTGTGACCCTGAATGAAGACAAATTATCGAGTGTCCAGACAAATGTTGAATATTGGTTGAATTCGCTATGCCCCTATTGCATCGGATGGCACGCGTTTATAATCCAGCAGAGTTGTGGTAGTTGAGTTGTACTCGGATTAGGGTTCGTAGTCTAGTGTAGGGTTCTTCACCTGGCAGCCCACCGGCCACCAATGGCTTACCAAACTATTGCCTGCCGAGACATACATGTATGCAGATTAGTGAGATTACGAGATAACCCAGAGAGAAAGAGAGAGAGAGATGAAAGAGCTGGAGACGAGAGCTCCAACATGGGTGGTCACGTACAGACGCCACGACGTCACGACACCGCGTGACGTCATGACGTCTGTGCACATGACACTATGACGGGGACCTACGTCACGTCGCCTGGCAGCACGTGCTCATTTTTTGTCACGTGGGCCGTCGAAAAATCTAGCTGAAGAACCCCGATGTCGAGAGTTATGCCCTGTGCGAGACTGCAACTTGCGGCACAGAAAATAGCCCCATGACTTGTATCGCAGAGTGTGAGGGCCCTTTCCTCATGTGTGAGGATTTTCCCCGGACGCTCCGGTTTCTTCCGATACGCGGAAATGTTTGACAGAGGAACTGGGCAGACATCCCAAAGCAGGATGTTCCTGGTGGAAAAAAAAAGAGTATTGATGACTACTACCTTTTTCAGCAGCACCCTATTGCACTCCCAACGCAGTCTTTTATATATATATAAACATTTCTCTACACGTGTAGAATTTTCCGACAAATTTGTTTCGCGCAACGATTTTTGAGACGAGTACACGCAGCCACTGACACTGCTCACCGATGTGTTTGTGGGGATCTTGCCGCTGTGTTTGTTCGGCACGATGAGCCGACGTTTCGCTCCACGTACCGGGCGCTTCTTCGATTGAGAAAAACGACGGACAACGTGCCGAACAACAACAACAACGCGCCCCGGAAACGCGCCAAAGAGCTTTACGTCCACAACTACAAAAACAAAACCTTACGTAGTGATAGTTGCTAGCATTGGTGTGAAAAAAAGTAAATGTGGAAACGAGGGTTTGATAAGGAATGGTGCCCACAGACTCGAGATTGAAAATGTAGTGTTTCTGTTTGGGGCAAACCTGAAATCGTGAGAATGTAAATTTCGATTTAAAGCTTTCGTGACTGCAGGGATTCATCTTCTTGTTTCTTTCGGTAAAGTCACGTAGAAGGGAAGTAATAAAATAATAAAAATAAAACATAATAAAACAATTCTCACGACGTTTCGGCTACAACGCAAGCAGCCGTCTTCAGGTGTCTCATTCTTCACCTGAAGACGGCTGCTTGCGTTGTAGCCGAAACGTCGTGAGAATTGTTTTATTATGTTTTATTTTTATTATTTTATTACTTCCCTTCTACGTGACTTTACCGACAGAAACAAGAAGAAGGAACGTGAGAATGTACACGAGTTAAGAGTTTACACCTGCTCACACTTTAGCAGTGCTGCAGCCGAAACAGATGTTTTCTTATTGATGCCCGGCAGATATTGCCTTGTACATTACCTCAGTGTTAGAAAGTTACAATCATCAAACCTCTTATCACTTCAGGGGCGCGTGCTTTTATATATATAGTTATAAAATAGGAGAAAATTAAACTACTGATTTTAAAAGATGATTGGAGCTATTGTATTGTAATTTGAAGTCACGAAATCACATTATAACTGAATAATAAATAACTTAAGGGCTTTTTTTTCCTGTACAGACTGGCTCTGTGAAGTAACATTTCAATCATGCTTAGCACAATATAATGCAAGAAGACAAAAATTTTAAAAAATCAATGTATTTAAATTTGCACAAATTATTTTTTTGTGGGCTGACGTGAGAAAGCTTCATTTTTTTTTTTTGAATGTCTAAAGTGATTAAATCAACCGATCTGTGCTTAAGAACTGCGAACTAATGCTTACATATTCATATTTCACGTTTGATTTATTATTATTATTATGTTATCTCTGTTAAGCGTGGGGACTACGCTAGTGTTGAAGTTACACGTTGTTGCCTTTTTTTTTCTTAGTAGATGCTCATCTGTGCTCATAATTGTCAATCCACTGCTGGATGAAGGCCTCCGCCACACTGTTAGTCTTGCGGGTTTTTCCGTCATACCGAGGCACAACGGGCCACCGTTGTGATTCACGGCAGAAGAAATACCAGAGGCGGAGTTCAGAGTCCTAGCAGCACAAACTCGACAGGGACGGCTCCACTTGGGGCTCAACTTTCTCATCAAATTATTTCTGGGTCGTTGGTGGACTGAAGCAGGTGGCACGTGACTTAGCAGCCACGGCACATAGCAGGAGGCATACTGGATGTGGTATGCTGAGTGCATTTTTTTTTTTTTGCCGGTCACCGATCCAGAACAACTCAGATGAAATCAAAACTCTGGCTTTTACACGAACGTACGCACGCGTGCCACAGGATGGTCACAGTGTGAAAATTTGGTGTATTTACGTTTTTGTGTGGGCGCTTATTTAAGTTTTGTTCGTTTGGTAGGAGAAACTTTCGGGGTTGGCAGCCTGTCGTTGATGACTGTCGAATTGTAATTTAAATCGTAACAAGTGCAGTATATTCTGGAGGATATTATCATTTTTGGTGACTTGAATTTTGGAATTAATGCCACGCGAGGTAAAGCTCACTGAAAACAAACATACTTTCCAGCCAACGCTGTTCGGTATAACTCCTATTATCCGTGATCCTATTATCAGCGACTCCTACTATCTGCTATAGGGCAAAAACTTATATTTACCTGCTCCCATATTTTCCAAAAAATCCGCGATTATCCATGATCTTTTTGCGGATAAGTGGAGTACAATTGCGGATAATAGGGATTTTCTATGTTTGTCCCCCACATCACCACGGATAAGAGGAGGTCTACTGTGTGTGCATGTACACGCTCTCTTTTAAATGTGTGGACGTTTGATTTTTAATGAGCACTCACTTATTAAAAGTCTCCAGCTAGCTATTATACGCCAAAATGCCGAATATTTTATACGGTTTGTTTCATGTGTGAAATTCTTAAAATGTCTTTTTTTATGGCATTTAAAAAAACAATGTGACTTTCATGACCAAACGGCCACACCCCATTCCAGTATTATTAAGCATGTGTTAATGTTATGTCATACACTGAATTTTGTTGTCCATTCCTTATTAATACCATTAACATTTTGCCAATTTGTACTGTATGTTTTCATATAATAAAAAAATATTATTTACAGACCTTTGTCGAACTAGTGCTTGTTTAAGACTTTTGTATGGTATGTCGCACTGTTACTCTTCGTTGCAGTCAAAATGTTGCGTTTAACCTGCATACCGTTATTTCATCTAAGTGTCCCTCTGAATATAATTGCAAGGATGCGTCTCGCCATGCAACTTGCACACTTTGAAAAACATTCTGAAAACGGGCCGGTTGCTCGCTCTGCTCGCAGTCAACTTGCCACCAGTGGCAGGAAGGGATGGCGCAGATTGATAAGTCCAGCTCGTTGAAGCCAGGAAAGGGAAGCATTTTAAGGGTCTGCTTTGTTATCTGCGGAGTCAAGACGGTGGGAAAGGGCAGGAAGCAAGCTAAGCAAAATTAAGTGCTCTTCCTTCTGCCGTTTGAAACGGGAAGGCAGTCAGGTCGTCCCCTTGTCAAAGCATTTGAAGACGCCGAATGGTGGCAAGCGTTCTGCGCCGACGAGTGATTCTGGTTTCAGCAAGTAGGGCGAACAGTGAACTGCCATTTGCTAACGGCGTCGAGATCAATGCGAGGCAGGGCTTGCCAGTGACCCGGCAGAGCCACGTCTCAATACGACACAGTTTGGATGCCCGTAGCGTATAAATGCGCACGCGTATTAGGACGCTGCATAAGCAGTGGGGGATGGTATTTATTTCATTGAGAGAGGAAAAGAAGAATGTATTGTGCTTTGGGTTGGACAGTTACAGGGAGCCGACAGCACAGATGGATGGTAGAAGGGAGTTCCAGACAATAGGGGCAGCAGAGGTGAATGAGAACGAGCAAACCACCCCTTAGACCACCCATACATGTAGGGAAAGCTTTGCTTGTAAACATGCTGCAAGAAAGCAACTCTTCCCGAAGCTTATAATCTTATCATTTTTAATTCACAGCCCTTCATCAATACACTGCTGGGTGAATGCCTCGCCATGCCATGTCGTTTATGGGGATTGTTTGAACATACTTCACCAGACTGTCCGATGCGGTTTGGTGAAGTTAGGGTCCAGGACTGTTTCAAATATCGCTTGCCGCTGATGGTAGCCATGGCTAGGAAAATCCCGAGTCCAAATTGCCGGGTTCGTGGCGCGGTGTGCTAATCACTGTGTCATCACATTCCCCGTAATTGTCTTCTTTACACTACAAATCTAATATATGGTAGAGCCAGATTGGGTTTGAGAGATGGGGTTTATAGTTCTGAAAATAGATGTATTGTCATCCTCATCACTAACGGCTGATGTCCAAGATAGACACGTTCTACCTTGCGTGATCTTCAGTGTTTGTCATGGAGAGTTCCGTCCAGTTGCCCACCAGCCGTTGCGTTTCCTCCCTCTTCCACTCTCTTCTCTTCCATTTTCACCTTCATCGTCACATCTCCAGCTATGACCCACTTTAGTATGTGTCCCGCATTCGCCACCTTCATTCTGAATATATATACACCGTATAGTATATTATATTCCTGTAGGTAGGTGTGTGTGTGTGGCTATATTTGCTTAACTTTATTGACAGCGGCTACAATTTCGGGGTTCGTCCCATAATCCAGAAAATAAAAAAAGTGTTTGATTTGAGAAACCAAAATCGAAACCCCTAGATTAATCAGGGAGTTCCATATGAAGAGAACTGAACTGTAGAACATCTAGCAAGAATGCATTTTCGGATGGCCGTTGTCAGATTTATATTTCCCATAAATCGGCTTGCTTTCCCGATCGAACAATTCAACGTGAATTCACAATCGTTGGCATAGCTAAGTGTCTTAATGCGAGCCCAGCCAACAAAGGAACCACTGTGCCGTAACTGGATGGCAATGCCAACGCCAGGCTTATCAGGATATACTTAATGTGTTCGCAAAATGCAGCTTGGAATTACTGTACGATTTAAGAACATTATTTGGTGATCCTGCGTTGGCAGAGGTGCACAAACATGAACTAAAAAATATATAGAACTGGCATAATTGCCTATTATATATATATTTAACAAGAGTTTATTGCCTATTACACACGGTATATATATTCTTTAAAAGACGGTGTTATGGACAAATGTGTTGAGTGTTCATGTACGGTTGAATGCTTACACGAGCTCTTAACTTGGAAATATATAAGCCTTTCCTGCCTTAAATTGAATGTGTCGCCTGGCTTTTTTTTTAAGTCACTGCTATCATGTCTGGGCGATTAATAATGTAACAACTACGGCTGATTGTGCCAGCATTCATAGAGCCGACTCAGAGGTCATCTTTAATGTTGTTACTCAGCCGCCAAAAGGGGTCTTAGTGCGCTCTCTTGTGGACCAGATCAGAAGTGTAAGTCAAGAAACATCGACATGAGCTACATGTTGATGTGAAGCTTTCGTGACTGCAAGAATCCATACTCTTTGGTTCTTTCGGTAAAGTCACGTAAGTAGAAATAAAACAAAACAAATCACGACGTTTCGATCGCAACACAAGCAGTCGTCATCAGGAAAAAATAGTTAGAAATAAAATAAAATAAAACAAATCACGACGTTTCGATCACAACACAAGCGGTCGTCATCAGGAAAAAATAGTTAGAAATAAAATAAAATAAAACAAATCACGACGTTTCGATCACAACACAAGCGGTCGTCATCAGTTTTTGCCTGACGACGACCGCTTGTGTTGCGATCGAAACGTCGTGATTTGTTATTTATTTTTTGAATTTACCGAAAGAAACAAAGAGTATATGAGCTTAAGTCACAAACTATGGCACACCTGAGTGCTTTTAGTATGAAACTCATTATCGTCATCTGCCATGATCTATCCACTGGCGGATGAAGGCCTCATCAATGCACGCCTATTACGCAATATACACACACACATGTACTGTAGGTTGAACTTCTTTCGCACCGTACGTGGCGGGGGGAAGGACAACAAAATAAGCACAAAAATCAGTTCTAAAGAAACGAGTTTTCAATCTAGATTTAAAATAAATTTAACACGGAGATGTAAATAAATTGTATATACAGTACACTCTAATACATTCAAATTAGTGTGAGAATTCAAACACGGTTCCCCTATGTATGAACTCGCCCTCGTCAGAGGAATATGTAATGTTAACCACAGGGTCAGGGCTGCTCGTGTTAATGACGTCGAGCTGATTACGCTTTTTAAATCCATTAAAGCCATCAAGTGTGACTGTGAGGAAGCAATTGCGATGATTGACCGACATCACATTGGCCGTCGTAGGAGATGGAACGATGAAATCTGCTCGTGTGCAGGTGCTTGGTGGATGTTGGGTGGATTGTGACTTTGCACGACCGTGATAAAATACTACGGCTTTTTAAATCATTTATATTAAGTTCGCTTGCTTGCTTGCGTGCTTGCTTGCTTGCTTACGACCGTGCAAATCTTTCGGTCGTTTTTTAACCCACTTCCCGTGATCCAATCGAGCTGACATTTTGCACACAGACTCGTTGTGCGAGACAATTAATGTTCGTTAAAAAAAATTCTAAAATTTTACACTGTTTAGGGAAAATAAATTAAATATTTAATAACCAATTTCTTAATACTGGCAGACAATCATCTGACCCATAGGTGGCAGCCATCTCAAGCCAGAGGACGAGAGGACTCTAGCCGCCACGCATATAAAGGATTTATAGTGAAAAACTTAGTTTTTACGGGTTATACTTATTTTTTAATCAGTGACGAATGTCTCCCAAATAACTGACTGACTGTGATGATCTGTGTTTGAATTCCTGAGTCAAATGTATCTCAAAGGACCAGTCACGCTTTCCCTGCCAAACACAGACTCCCCCGTTTGCTTCAAAGTGTAAATCAGCAGGTGATCCATCACGAAGTGGATTATGCTAATACAGTACTATTCTGTTATCTATCAGAATCAGAATCTTTATTTATATTTGAGGAATCCGATGACCGACGAAGCTGTTTTCACATATTACACTGCCCTCATTAAAACAGGTCCACTCAGAATGCAATGTACCAGCAAACATTGGATAGCTTTTCTTTTCATACAAATTAGTTTTATTGAGAAACACTTTTAGTTTATTGACGTTTGTCAAACTCAATAGCCTCTAATACAAAAAAGTTTAATCAGGAAATGTGGTATAAATGTAATTCTTATAAGGCCCCATGGTTAAAAGTCTCCTATATCTTATTATATCTCTCAGGCCTCTATATATACGAAACAGGGATATTGCCCGAAACGTCTAAAAGCCTTCTCTCACCAGTGTTTGACCAGAGAACGATACAAGACCAACAGTACAAAGATGTATAGCTCATGGGATTCCTCCTCCAGTATAAATACATCAGATTTTCAACACTAGGTTTAACCCTTTCTGGAATTAAACTCACGTTTGCATGTTCACCACAAGTACGTGTGGTTAATGCAGACTTAATTCCTTGAAAAGGATTTCTATTTTGGTGTTTGAACATCTTAACACCCGTTTTATTGCCAGAAAGGGAACACAAGAAACCCTTATTTTTCGTACTTTGACACTGGCCATAAAAGTGTCCCATGGATAAATCGGATTCTGATTATTCTGAAACGTTGAGCGAGCACGTGGCCTCGCCCCCCCCCCCCCCACCAACAAGACAAAGATCACCCGTGTAGCCTGTACCAGATTGTTGGGGCAAGTGCTGTTAGTGAGTAGCACCTATGAAGGTCGACACTCTGATACACGAGGGGGTGGGTGGCCATCACCGCGCCCGGCCGCCTTTGTCTCCCCGGTGGCGATGTTTACTACACCACCGCACCGGGTACTCATTTGATGCCGAGCCGACCTAGGAGAGGCCCAGGGACTCGGTTCAGATAATCGTCACCGGTGTTGGTGGCCGGGACGCCGCCGGGGTTTTTTGGCGCAGCGTAGCGCGCTAACCGCAGTACCACCGCTCCCCACCCGTCCCACCACGCCCCCCCACACCGCCCCCACCCCCCATCCTCCCACCCATCCCCATCCCTCCATCGACCCCCCCCATCCCTCCGGCTCCACCCACCCACTGACCACCGCCCCCACCCCTCATCCCCCCATCCATCCCCCCCATCCCCACCCCCCCCATCCCCCCACCCACCACCCACTGACCACCACCCCCACCCCTCATCCCCCCATCCATCCCCCCCATCCCCACCCCCCCATCCCCCACCCACTGACCACCGCCCCCACCCACCACCCCCCACTCATCCCTCCCCCAACCCCCCCATCCCCCCACCCACTAACCACCACCCCCACCCCTCATCCCCCCATCCATCCCCCCCATCCCCACCCCCCCATCCCCCACCCACTGACCACCGCCCCCACCCACCACCCCCCACTCATCCCTCCCCCAACCCCCCCATCCCCCCACCCACTAACCACCGCCCCCACCCCTCATCCCCCCATCCAGCCCCCACCCACCCCCCACCCATCGGTGACGTCACACGCGCGGTGCGTCCTGGGAAGCCCAAAGGCGGCAACTTGAATCGCGTTTCCTCAACGTTAAACGCGCGCGTAGACGAATCCATTTCTCTCGTCTCTCGCCTCTCTCTCGCCTCTCTCTCCACTTCATCTCGTCGAACAAGCACAGCGCAGTCGACGCGCAATTGCCGTGCGTGCTGTGGGACGCTGCGCTCCGTCACAAATCGCCGAGCGCGGCGGTCGTGTTATAGAGTTGCCTGTGGTGTTGGGGCGCTAGGCGAGGTGCAGGCCTCGCGTGTGATTTTGTCGAACGAACGCGTTCGCAGTGGGTGCTAGAATTAATGAAAGGGTAACTACTATACCCCTGCTGCTTCTACTGCTGCTGCTTCTACTGCTGCTGCTACTACTGCTGCAACGTTGCGGTTCGTCTTAAATTGGTGAGCGAGGTGGTTTTAAGAGTTGACTGCGGTGTTGCGAGGTGCAGGCCTCGCTGAGCTCCGAAGCCCTGGGGTGCCATCGCTGCTCTTATCTCTTTATTAACCACTCACTCTTTGTTATTTTACCAGGTAAGGCTCACTTTTTAAGTTACGTAGCCTTATATATTTTTAAAGGAGCGAGCTGACAGCTCGCCGAAGTGGCTTGTCATCGTGTGGACACGTACAGCGGCAGACAGCCTCTGGCACATTCTCCCCTGATATCTTATATATAATAAAGTATATGAATTACCCTAATGCAGTGCTTTATGGCAGTGACATGGCCTAGCAGTAGCGCCTTCGTCACTTGTTGCAGACGTTCACGGTTTGAAGCCAGCGGCCGCCCTGTATGTTACAGGCGGTATGTCATCTACATATATATGTAAAAGGCAAAGTTGTGAATATGTGTGTCTGTTCAAAATGTTGAGCGTACTTCCCGACATGCAACAAACTGGAAATTTGCCATGTGGGTACTTTCCAGAATGTACACCATGCACAAATTATAAAAATACACTTGTTTTTTTTTGGGGGGGGAGCTCAATACAGTAATGCATGCTGTATATTTTTTGCACAGCAGGTGAGTTGTGACGTCAAATCTGTCACGTGACCCGCGCACGTGGAAGCGTAACGCATTGTAGTGTAGCGGTTAGCGCGCTGCGCTACGAACCTGGCGACCCGAGTTCGATTCTCGCTCACGGCCACCACCGGTGACGATTATTTGAACCGGTCCAGGGCCTCCCCTAGGTCGACTCAGCCTCAAACGAGTAACTGGTGTGGTGTGTGAACATCGCCACTGGGGAGACAAAGGCGGCCGGGCGTTGTGAGTGCAAGTCCCGGGCGAAGCCGGGTAGTAAAGCTCGTATTTATATATGTATAGTACAGTATTATTGTTTTATGAGTGGCGCCTTGAGACATTGTGAATGGCGCCTAATAGGTGCAAATCATAATATAGAACTACTGTCGCTTAAGGATGTATCCTTGTCACGACTGTCTCATCATTGGAACGGGTTTTTAGACAGAACGATTTTTTGTTAGTATAAATGTTTTTTTATGAGTGTTTTATTCGAGTCAACTTGTGTTACTGGAAATGTTATTTTAAATTGATTGTGCACTGCCGCTCTCTTTGCGAACGCGTTTTTTTTGTTGCTCTGAGTATGTTTACCTGATTATCATTTTAAATGTTTCGAGTGGGGAAATAAACTATCGCCCAAAGAAAATCTACGTATTTTAACACACAAATCCATGCAAGTTGGTCATGAACCAACTTTTGCTATCTGTTGATTGCCCATGGCAACTGCAGATATTTTGAGTTTCGCATCACGTGATCGTCTCCACGTGGTTCACCAACTTGGATTAGCACGCATTCAACCCAACCCACAACGGGCTATACAAGTACACTGTTGTAATAACAGAGCCTCCCCTTGGCCGTGTAACAACAGGGTTGGACCACACTTTGAATAACGAGTGTGGGAACTGAACTCTGCCGACAACAATGGACAGCCTTGATGAAGAAACGGTTGGAGACGTTTCAAAGGAAACAAATGGAGTGAAGCATGGCGTTTCTGCACTGCAGCATCTACAAAAACGGCAAAAGAAACTCCTGGATGAGGTACGTGGTCTAACAACTATTACTGCTGGACCAAACATCCAGTGTGCCGGTGGTGATACATCTCCAAGAGTGTACATATGCTTCAGTGAGTGGGGAGTTGTATTGTAGTGGTTATCGCACTGCGCTACGGACTATGCGACCCAAGTTCGATTTCCACTCGTGGCGATTACCAGGGATAGCCATACCACCTTGTGTGCTACACCCGCCTTAATGTGCTCTCAAACAGCACTTTCCACAACAGTGTATGGCTATACAGGGAATCTAGACAGCATTCACCTCCAATTAGCACGGTTTCCTACGTACGGTGCGAAAGAAGTTCAACATACTGACTCTACACTGTCGTGTGCTTACAGGTGCAGATGCTGGCCAAGCGCTCCCAGGTATTCCAGGAGTTCCTGGCACCAGATGTACCAAAGGAGACAACAGATAACAAGGACGTTCGTGAGAAAATAATTATGGATTGTGAATCCGTCTGGAGGGAGGTGAATGAAGTGAGTATTTCAATGCATGCAGAGGCATCACGGTGCTTTGAAATCCATCCTTTTAACAGACATCTTGACAGCTTTTATTTGTATAGTGTGCTCTTGAAATGACTGCAAATCAAGGCAAAGCTTGTCAGCTGTCTTCATGCTGTGCAGAAATGTCACATGCCAGGGTAGTACTGCTCCACCAACACCTCCAGGACAATCACGTGTTTAAGCTAAATTTAACCTTGTATACTTTTTATGCTTGTATATATTTTGCTTTGTTATGCGCTCAAACATAAAAGAAATGGGATGCATTTGGTCTTCATGGGAATAACGGGGTTTTGCAAATACAATTGACGTGGCAAGGAACCCTCCATTCTAAACGATCCCAGTATTTTGAGGACACTGTCGATTAGTTTGCAATTTGGTTCCCATAGTTGCCCATTTTGATTACAAACCTGAATAATACAATTAATAGCGACTTATTTTTTGTCATTGAGAAGAAAGAAAGGCCTCAATGTTGTGGAGAATTGTTTTCTTCCGGAAAGATCTCTGATTCCGCTAACCGTGTGCCTTTAGATTTTTATATTTTTCTGCGTGATCATAACAAACATTTTTTTATTTTTAATCACCCTGTAATTCATTAGATGAGTTCACTGAATAAGCTTTTGTATATTAAATGAACACAATTTATGTTTTTTACAAAAAAGTACCAATATACGTAGATCTTTAACTTAAAATAATATTCAATATAGCGATTTTAATTGCGAAAATTGTCCTTGTTTCTTGCAGATGCAAGCAAGAATTTGTATGCAAGAAGCCACTCCTGTATCTCCTGAGAATCCGGTAAGATTTGAAATCATTACATTTCATTACCGCATCTGAGATGAAACCCGAAAGTTCTAACAGTGCAGCTACAATTGATAATGCGGTCATCCCCACTGATTTAAAATATATAATACATGCTTTAACACATTCCTGCGGAGGGAGCTGGTAGGAACGTTGGGTTGCTCGGTCAATGGCCAAGGTCAACGGCGGCGTGGTGTATTCCGCAAATATGGCCGACTGTGAGGGTGGGCACAAGCCGGCGTGAGTAGGTTAAACGTTGAGTTTTATAAGGGCACCACGGGGTGACCAGCCCCTCCCCACCCAGCCCCACCCCTCCCATCCCCCACCCAGCCCCACCCCTCCCGCCCCCCACCCATCCCACCCTCTCCACCCAGCCCCTCCCCACCCTCCCGACCCAGCCCCTCCCCACCCTCCCCTCTCCACCCAGCCCGACCCCTCCCATTTTTGATGCACGACGGACGGACACAATAATCTCCTGTGGGCTGGTGGAACCAGGTGGTTCTTACCAGTATAAAATGTCTATACCCATTGATGTTGAGAATCTGTGCATAATGGCAGTACCACTGCAGTTCCAGGTTGTGCCAAACAGCTGTGCCGAAATGAAGGTTACATCCATAGTCATAACTTATACTAGATGTACGTGTGTGTTTCTATCAGATTTTGGATATACTTTTGGCAAAGAAATGGTTGCTGAATGCTGAAGTTGAAATTTCAACGGAAACAAAACAGCTGAGTAAGACATGTTTTTTGTAATATTCGAAAAGTGACCTTGCCACAAGACATTAAAATACTTGAAATATTGTTTTTGTATCTTAAACAAATATTTTTCCTGTATTCTAGTGCCTCTTAAATATCCTGAATGCGCACTTGTGGTGGCAGAAGAGAAGGTAAGATGTTAATTTATGTTTTAGATTTGAAGTTTTCGTGACTGCAAGGATACATACTCTTAGGTTTTTTCGGTAAAGTCACGTAGCTAAAATAATAAAAATTATTTCTATTATTATTTCTATTATTTGTATTATTATTTTTTACCTACGTGACTTTACCGAAAAAAACTAAGAGTATTAATTTATGTATTTTTTATTGTTGATTCCTGAGACGTCCAATAATTCTCGCAAGTGGATGACTTTGCAAGTGGTGATTTTTTTTTCTGTATTTTGCACCAACAGCTTAAACAAGTTATCGGTCAACTGGAGGAAACATTGTCATTTTATAGAACCACAACAAAAGCCCTCGAGTCCGAACTTGAAAGGTACGAGACCTGAAAGCCTATTTTCCTGTTTGCTGGTGGTGTTTTTTTTTATCCGGATGAATCTGTGTGAAGTGTATCGATCGTGTCTCACAATGAGTGTTGTTGCAGAGAGAAGGCCTATCTGGAAGATCAAAAGAAAATTCAACAAACACTTAAAGAGAAACTGGCTCAGCTGGCTACGGATAGCACCAACACGTCATCAAGCCAAGAGTATGCTGGAACACGTGTTTAATCGCCCACATTTATGTAAAGTCGGCACACTAATAATTTTAAAGACCATTATTAACATTCTCACTTGGTTTCAGACTGTTTCTAACCATCATTTAAGTTTTGTAAAGTTATTTATATATGTTTTGTTAGTGTTTCAATAGTAAAGTTAGCATACTTTGATAAGATATAACTTTTTAAGGATAGCTAAATGCACGTGATTATATGGTGGTTACCCCTTGACAGTAATAAACAGAGGTTATCTACTGCAGAAATTGCATAATGTTTTACTACATTAACAACATTATTAACTCTTTCATGAAACTAATACGGTTTTGAAAATGTATACCTTCAGTTCCAGGTCGATGTTCATAAAACCCCTGCATGTAGGGGAGGCTTAATGTTAGCAATGAGTGGCTTCATATTTTGCCAGCAGTAAGTAATGGTTGTACTGCCCCCTGCCTTTCAGCCTCCCCAGAGAAATGCAGGAGCGACTGCGCAAGGCTATGCTGCATTACAAAAAGCTGAATAAGGCTCTCTTTGAGTTTTCAAATGAATTTTTCCCGCTGCCAACGGAAAATGGTGTTTACGGCAAGAGGAAGAAGGTAAGTTCAGCTTTTCTCGGCTGCCTGGATGGTGAGAGTGATACAAGATTGTGAAATTAACGTATTGGCGGTCCACCGGTGCGCGGTATTAAAAAAAACAAATTTTTTTCGCAATAACTATTTATTCTCCCACAATTCGGAACCCCATTCAAAAAATCTTGCAGTGCGCATCAAAATCAATTCTCGTTATGTCCAAGCAGTCGGAAGACAATTGTCAGTTAAAACTTATATTTTAGACTGTTTTTAGGAAGTCCGGTGTGTTATGCTGCAACGGTGTACCGCCAGTACGTCCAAATGAAAAATGCATCGTCATCACGTTGCCCCAGTGTAATGGTTGGCACACTGCACTTGCCATCTAGAGTTCGCTGATCCGATCTCTGTGAGCCAGTTGAAACGATGGTCAGGTTTCCCCCCCATGCACGGTTCACCCAGCAGTATAAATGGGTACACCACAGTTAAACCGGCAGGTCACATGTGATTGTGCGGTAAGATGCATTCAATATTAGTACGTTCAGTTATTTTAATGGTTTTGAAATACATTCAATATATGATAATTACATCTTAAACCATTGTTGTGAATGGCTTAACGCCAAATGCTAAGCTTTTACATTGTTGTGTTAAGGTGTTGGTTGTTGGTGAATGCTGTTAACACATAAATAGCACTATGAGACCTCCTTTACCAGTGGCAAAATATAGTAATAGGTTTTTACCCTTTCAACTGGTACAAAAACTGACACCTTTTTTGGCGTCATCTGGTCCAACACCAATGGAGACTAGGTTCTAAGAAAAGCTGTCTCGGCTGTGGACCAATCAACTTCAAGGACAGTGCATATCATTATCATCATCAGAGTTTCTTTTTGTTTGCATTTTGACTGCTTGTGTTGTGGTTATTGCAAACATGATGCCTTGTATAAAGGTGTCAGTTTTTGTATCAGTTGAAAGGGTAAAAACCTATTACTACATAAATAGCACGTTTAAGCAAACTTCCAATGTGTTAACAGGATATAAGCAAACAGCATATTGAGTGTCAATATTATATACCTGTGTAAGGACAATACGTGGGGATGTAAGGACAGTACATCTCCCCGTGGCCATGGTTACTAATTAGCGTAACGGGTTCGGGTAATGCGGGACCTAAGTGGTCGCTAATAATGATTGATGCGACAAGCTTTGACAGGGTCGCGTGAGGGGAAGCATGGGACTTAATGGACGTAAATTGTAACAAGGGCAGAGACAGACGGGGCCAGGTGCGGTGAGAGAGGGTTCGGGAATAGGGGCGTGGCCGGGTCGTCAGGGGGATAAAAGCCGGCACGAACCGGGGCTCTGGGCTGCTGTTGTGGGGAACTGCCGTCGCCACCTTGGAACGTGTCGTCTTCATCATCCTGGAGTGGGCACCTTGTAGTCTTGGAAGGCGAGAGTTATGTTCTCTCAGAATAGAGCTATCTAAGTTACCCAAGTGTATATAGTCACTCGCGGTTACTCGTTAAGTTATTAGTTAGTCGGCGGACTTTATTCATAATAAATATACATATAACTGAACAAGACGGTGTCTCTGAGAGCTACATTACACTTGGAAACACATTAACAGTGTTATAACATGTATAAATGTAACATATATAAATGTAATTACTTTTTATTTGTGTGTTTTTCCATGGCAGAAATCTACAAATGTGAACAGCACCAAAAACATAGACTACATTGCTATCCACGAAATACTGGAGGCAAGTGAATTCGTTACTGCAATCACTTCCTACCAACTCCGTAAATGAATTTTGGAAGTGTTCTGCAGATGTTGTAACTTACGATTCATATGTTTTACATGTGGTGTCGTGTTTGTGTGCACGTGTAACAGCAACAATCTAAGGTTTATTTATTGTCAAGACAAGTGCCACAACTGAACATCTGAATACTTTAGGGATCTGTAGCTGGTTGCATAATATGCTTTGGGTAATTCCCCCCCCCCCCCATACACTGCTTCAGATGACATTTAACCAGCCAAGTGGCTCAGCAGTAGAGTGAGTGGTTCACCTGAACAAGGTTACAAATTCAAATCTTTGTTGGGGGGTTGACCAAGCCGATCATCCCTCCCAGGGTCAATAAATGGGGGGTCCCACTTTGCGGGGAAGTCAAGCGGTTGCCATATCGATAAGACTGGTGCCCGCCGTAGGAATGTGAAGTTTCCACCACTGGGCTGTTAACAAGAGATGATCGCAGCCTCATTGCTCATTATGAGCAGGGAATCACTTCCACCAAAGTGACTACGCTTTCTCCGTTCCACTGCTGGATGGAATGAGTAAAGAGGGTTGTTTTTACCATACTTCACCATGCTGGTCAATGTGGATTGGTGTGTCCAGTACCGGTTTGGATATCGCTTGCCACTGATGTTAACCATGGCCAGGACTCAAATTCAGGTTGGCAGCTTCTTAGTGCAGCACGCTAACCACTATAAAACCGTTTATATCCCTGACGTGGCATTCTAGGCAAAAGTTGAACTAACCCTGATATTAGACTGGAAGAGATTGTGGTGTATAAACCATGAGCCCCACTCACCGACTTTTTTCGCCTTCCCTTGCCACAGTTGCTGATGAACCAGATGACAAGTTCTCCGCACGACCCGTACATCACTGTGCAGGACAACTTCTGGCCTCCGTTTGTCGAGAAACTTCTCCGCTTCGACATGGCGGTCACGCATCCGGAGGATCACAACAAGATCCGCATTCAGTTCTACCACGAATAGCGTGGAGCAACAACGATGAGGGCATTAAGACTGCATGCATTCAAGTTTAATGCAACTGATCGCTCAGGTCTGGATGTTTCTGCAACCAGTTGCGAGCAGTTGCACCAGTCGGTTGCTTGCAGTAAAGACGGTCTACTTTCAAGCGAATCCACTGTAGTGACGTACTTCATCACTTATATATGTGCCAACAAATGATGAGATATTCTTGGTTCTTTCGGTAAAGTCACGTAGAAGGGAAACAATAAAATTATAAAATTATAAAACAAAAAAATTCTCAATAATATTCTCAGTGATAATTTTATTGTTTTATAATTGTATTATTTTATGGTTTCCTTCTATGTGACTTTATCGAAAGAACCAAGAATATGAATCCCTGCAGTCACGAAAGCTTTAAATAGAAATTATGAGTTACAATCCTACATATGCTGTTTATATAAAGGATTGGTAAATTCACAATAATATGATTAATGGTAACTTTTTTTATTTTACCAGGTAAGGCCCACTGAGCTGTATAGCTCTTTTTCAGAAGTGACCTGGCCACAAAGAATAGCTCATTTGTAGCCAGACCACATGTGGATTTTAAATGCGGAGAAAAAAAACTGAGGACCCGAAAAAAAAACAACGACCACAGGGAGAACATGCAAACTGCAAATTTCCATGTGTCAGAGCTGAGATCGAACCCGTGTGACCTGTTTACCAGGCAAGGTAGCTAATAATATCTCGCCGCAGCGATGCCCATAAGATAAGATTTTGCAATCGGGATTTTTGCACATTTCCATGAAGTCGTTAATTCATGAAAACCCTTGATTAAAAAGAACTGAGCGCACCAAAATATCATTGCTGTGATTAGCAGAAAATAGATCTCCACACTTCGAAATGTGGAAAGTTAGTTGACCAACTAATGGCTCCGATGTGGACAAAGCGGTTGTAGGTGATCTAGTTGTGCGATTACGAGAGGGATTTGCTCGTTTGACTGATCACTCGGTGTCAGCATCAGAATATTGATTTATTTTGGAGGAATCCGATGAACTCTTTTTCACATATGGTCCACGATAGTGCACGGTATAGGAAATGTAAGCAAATGACTTTTAAATAATGTAAAGTAAACTATTTTTTATCTTACCAGGTAAAGCCCATTGAGCTATACTGTATAGCTCTTTTACTGGTAGGAACCTCCTGGCTACACCAGCCCACAGGGGATTATTGTGTCTGTCGTGCAGGGAGGGGCTGGGTGGGGAGGGTGGGGCTGGGTGGGAGGGGGACTAGTGGGGAGGGAGGGGCTAGGTGGGGAGGGTGGGGCTGGGTGGGGGGTGGGAGGGGTGGGGCTGGGTTGGGGAGGGGCTGGTCACCCCGTGGTGCCCTTATAAAACTCAACGTTTTACCTACTCACGCCGGCTTGTGCCCGCCCTCACAGTCGGGCATATTTGCGGAATGACCCTGGTCATTGACCAAGCAACCCAACGTGTTCCTACCAGCTCCCTCCGCAGGAATGTGTTATTCATAAGTGATCTTGCCACAAATAATAGCTCAACTAATTGGGTTACCATGTGTGAATCTGCCTTTGGGATTGACCCTCATGGTTGGGGCATATACAGTTGGCATGCTCCGTGCAAGCATTCAGTTTTACATAGACGGTACCTTAGTCACTCCACTGCTGGATGTGGACCTCGTCATACCTCATCGGTCGCGGGCCTTGTGCTACTTTTACCATGCTGGTCACTGGGTCTGTTGAAGGCAGGGAGCATAGACATCGAAGCTTAGTACAGGACAGTAGTGGCTTTGTCGCCACAGCTTCCAACGCCTGTCTTATACGTGGTGGTCACCTATACAATAAATATCCAGGCTCAAGACTGCTTAGCTTCTGAGATGAATTAATAAATATAATCGGATACATTTCCATTAAGTACATCGCATTGGAATGCGTCCATTCTTGAAGCAATACATTCATTGTTTACATATTAATTACTCCCATAACCACAGTGGCGGCCCCTTTAGTGTTGGTGCTTGCCTGGGGTGTTTCTTATGGAACAATTAATTTCAAGTTTGATATATAGTTTCTTCAGATACCGATGATCGTGTCACCCGAAATTCGCCCAGTCTCGTTAAACCTTTGAAGTTATGCAGTGTTGAGCCTGTGTCGTGCTTAGGTGGGGTAACTGGCATGCATGAAACGGGTGTTGTAGGCTACTTGGCGACTATATTGTGGATTGCAGAGGGCAGTGCATGAACATGCATTGTGCCGCACATCAATGCCGCATGTCGATGCTCTCCATCTTCAACTTGCATTGACTGGCGTGGTGAAATATGGTCAACGCCCACGATGCTATGAGGAGGCCCTCATCCAGCAGTGGATTGGCAAATTGCTGTACGAGCACATTAACCTCTACAATTCCACAAAGCCTCCTAATGTGTTGTAGGCACAATGGGTTAGGTGTTGCAATACACCAATTGGGCAGCTGAGAAAGCTCTTTTAAAGTATCCCATAAAACCTGTGCTCAAGCGTTCACAGATGCCAGCCATTCTCCATTCTCTTTTCGCATGGTCAGTGGTGGGCCTTTGGCACGGTGGGTGTAATTAAGAGATGAAAACACCCGAAAATTGCCATTTTTGGCATTGATCAGCGCAGCCTTGCGCGAGGCCAGCTGCAATGCAGTGCTATCAGGATCAGCATAGCATTACGGTATTGGTGGGTCAAGCACCTGTTTGTTAATTCCTCACATACCTTAGAGTAATTGGACAATCACAACCGTTGTTCGTACAGTGAATGGAGTGGAGGACTAAATGTTGCCCTGAGAAAGAGAAGTCGGGATGGGGGGATATAGTATACGATAATTTCTGCTCTCGGGAACTTAAAACGTGCAAAGCAGATTCGGTTGAACACTGCTTTCTCAGTGCCAATATTACAGTTTGTTTGCAATAATTGAAACTCAGATAAATTGTGGTGCAATTCACTTAATTTTCTTTTGGATTATCCTAGGCAGATACAATGTTGCCCAAAGCTATTGGGGTTTGGCAGCAGCACTTGTGCAATTTCGCACGTTACATTGTTTTTGGTCAATTATTGCCAGTTGCTTACGACCACCCAGAATGCTCCCAATCTCGTCAAATCTTAGAAGCTTGGCATTGATTTGCCTCCATCGTGCGTGGACGTGTGACCACCCTGAACGAAACATGCCGGCTGCATGTTGTCAGCAGAGGGGTAGGTAGCAGTGCAGACAACTCCGTTGTGTTGTAGTCCAAAATCTCTATGCTCTTCACCTTCACAAACATGCACTGTGACCGACGTGGTGAGATATTCCCCCCCCCCCCCACCACGACCTGCAGAGTGGCCGAACCCTCATCCATCCCGTGCATTGGCAAAAAGGGCTGCTCGTTGATTACCGGTCGGGTGCATGATATCATTGCAAACTCGAGTATTAGTGCACATTAGTTGTATGTATTGTTTCAGAAGCCTCTGTTGTATTATAGTGATTTTACGAATGTACAGCACTGATGTATGCAGAAGTCACACAGATTTTTTTTTACACTTTTATACAGAGTTCAATACAGTGTAATGACGTAAATAATGCTTGCGTTGCGAAACGTTGAATACCATTCAAAAGTGGTTCACGGCCAAAACTGTAACGTGTTGTAAACTAACAAATGTGCCTTTACATGCGATGATATGTCATTTTCTATAGTATGACATAAGTAGACGTCTGTATAACGTATCCGAAGCTTATGCAGACAAAATAGCATACAGCTTATAGTTATTCGCCTTATAGAGAGTGTAATTATTAAACACTTGTGGAAGTGGAATCGTGATCGTGGTTATGCCAACCGGTTTTTGCACCTTCCAGTCTGAATATTCCTGGCCACAAGACTTCCAACAGAATAAATTCATTATGAACATTCTCTTAAGCAAGCTAGTGCCCACAACCAAGACGGATAATTCGTGTCAAGACAGCCCTAAATCGCGCTACACAGGTGTGCACAAACAAAGCAATCCAGCTCGTCAACAAGCAACGTCCCCCTGGGGCTTGTAATGAATCCCGCCACCAACAGAGGCAAGTGCAGACCCATGTTTGGATCGGGTGCTAGTTGCGATAACACTCGATGTCTTGTGAGCAGGGCATTGCTTGGTGGTGGGCAGTGCTCCAATAATACCTCCAAGCCTGTCTTGGCCACGAGTTCCGTGTTTTTTAGCATAAGCCATTTAGCACTTCAAAGAAACCGCAGTTCCAGAAAGGTCCACTGCACTTGGTTTCGTTACAATTCCAATCGTACTTGTAGAGTTAATTGCAGTCACTCGTTACTCAACTAATTTGCCATTACAAGCGGTAATGGATTTTTAAGTATGGATAAAATCGTCTTGCTTATGTCATACATGCATTTGTTCCAACATTAAAGACCTGTGGATATGCATTGAGGTAAGGTTAATTATTTGAAGGTCGTTTATATATTGTTTAAGGATCCTATCAAATCGCGCTCGGTGGTCCGATCGGATTTGAGAATCTCAAGGAGCCGAGTTCCTGCTTTCGTGGCCACCAATGCACAATAAAGTATTGTCGGCATACGACTTGAGAGATACAAGGTGCCAGGAGATGGCACTAGTGGTTAGTGCGTTTCGCAGATTTCCACTCACTGGTCGGATTCTTCATTGAAGATAACCTGCAGAGATTTGAGTGTTATCTCCTGGCGTGTGAGTTTTCTCTGGTTTCTAAATGCCCGAAATTGGCATTGGCAAAACACCCGAATGTACTCACTATCCTGAAAAAATAATCCCAAGACTCGATGTTTTCTGGAAAATGTGATGAATTTATAGTGGGAACCCAGCAACTGGCTTTCTAACTGGTGTTTGAATTGGTTTTGTATGAAAATTATCCACTGCCACATGAAAGCCTGCCTGCGTGTCTGCCATCTCACGGTTTTGCAAAGTACCAATCCATGAAGCACCTGCACACGATCTGATTTTCATAGCTCAATCTTTTCGGTGGATGTCTTCTCGGGCGCTGTTTCCATCTGTCGTTTGTCAACCACCGGTCATCAATTTCTCACGACATCTCCTATCCAAGCCCAATTTTATTGAAATTCAGTATAATGCGGTGAGTCTTCCAATGCATGTGTTTACATAAATGTCAATTCAAGCGTTCTCCCGCTACTTTTTTTTGTTTAAGCCGTTCCATTTTCATATTAAGTGATGCACGTATTCTGAGCCATGTGGAAAAGCAGGTAACGTTCACTCAAGCGTTTTTCTCTGGGGACAGAGGTACGCTCCTTTTCATTATCGAGCTTCTCTTTCCAAAAGTACCCCAATTATGTTGCCACAATTTTGTATTAGTCGGGGCTTGTTTTCAGCCTAATGTGTTCAGGGCTGAGCTTCAGAAAATGCTGTCGATCATGGATTATCCGTCTGCTTCCAACATTGTACAGCGGTCCCGGGGCTGATGCGGCGAAACCGACAAAACCACTCCACAGGCTGTAACTAATCCGGCGATCGTCAAACACATCGTCTTGTTGAAACAAGTGCGAAGTACTACGTACATCACTCCATGCCGATTCTTTGAGATTAGAGTGGTAAGTACGGTACAGTAAATATACAAACTTTTGTTTACAGTAGGATATTGTCTATTTGGATGAGAATAGGTTTTCCCCTTTTTTCTTTAAGTTGTTAAAACACCAAACTTTAACCTTTTACAAGGAATCGTGTCTGCATTAACCACAATACTTGTGGTCAGAATGCAAACAAAAAACATACTCTGATAATATATGCATTGTCTTTGAAACTGATCGGTCCGCACCAGAGACAGCTTTCTTTGGAGCCTCGTCTCAAACGGCGCCATCTGGTCTAACACCTTTTGACAACATAGACACACAAAGACAGCTGTGTGTCTCTGTGTTGTCTCTCTGCTTGTGTGTCTGTGTGTACCTGATGACGATTGCTTGTGTTGCAATCGAAACGTATTGTATTTAATTTATTTTCTTTCTACGTGACTTTACCGAAATAACCAAAGAGTAGTTCTGAAATTGCCGTCCACAAACATTCTACTTTGAACCAGCAGATGGCGGTAGATACACACCATGTTATTCACGTTATTGGCAACCACAATAAATGTATTTAACAATTCGAAAGGTGATGATGAAATTTCATTATCAGAACAACCGCGTAGGGACTCTGTTATCCATTCATAAGCTAACACGCCATGCATATCGATGTTATCAGTTGAGAAGCTGCACGAT